TTTATTGATATTTCCACTTCTGTGTTTTCAGCAGGGAACAGTAAAGATGAGACTTTCTCCCAGGAATGTTCTGACAGCAGCTCCAAACCAAAGCAGCTCAAGTTCCCCAACCAGGTGTACATCGATCTACCTCTGTGGAGGGACGAGCAGCAGACTCAGATTTGCCCTGGTGGAAACTGCGGGACAGGAGATGCTGGAGTGGGATTAGCAGGTCAGAGCGGCCAACCAGAGACTCCAGACGACCCATATACCACCACATCCACTTCATCCACCTCAACTACCCCACAGCTTACACCCACCAACAGCCTGAAAAGGACATCGGGTCGCCGCAAGACCGACGCTGTGCTGTATGGCTGCGGTTCGCTGCTGGCTTCGGTTGTGCTCGGTTATGACATCAGGGAAGCCCTGAAAAACTCAGCTGCTGGCGAAGACTGCGAGCCCCCGAAAGAGGAGAAAGAGAAGAAAAAGAAAGAGGGCCTGTTTCAACGCGCAACCCGTTTCCGCCGCAGCACCTCACCACCAAGCGGTCGCTCCCGTAAAGACGAGGGAACGTCAAACCACAACTCCCCCCAACCTGTCAATCTTATTTCCATGTCAGCCATCATGGAGTACAACTCCACCAAGTGTCTCTTACAGTCTGAAGCGGAGATGTCGGAGTCTAACCCTGTGAAGGCTGAGCATGTGGCTGTCAATCATCACACAGAGCCATCCAGATGCAGCCCAGCAGCAGTTCCAGAAGGCCAGAGTAACAAGACTGCAGCTAAAACGCAGACAGCGGTGCAAACCCAAAGCCAGCCGCCAGAGCAGACCAACCACAACCCAGCAGCACGTCTACGCAGAAAGAAATACACCACCAACCACAACAGTGAGTAACTAACAAAAAGTGAGAAAACTTGTATATACAGGTTTAAAAAGGATTCCCACTCCAAAAATGCATCTCCCTGTTTGTTCACAGCCAATGGCCTGCCCGCTCTGCCTCCTCCAGTCACACAAAAGAAGCAGGAGAAACAAGAGAAGGATGGAGGGCCAGAAAAGCCCTCTGGTGGAGAGGCCTTCACAAGACCGCGGCCAGTGTCACTCAGGGCCAAACCCCACACCTGGGCTCTGCTGCGAGGACGCAACAAAAGCTACTCCCTGGGTCACTATTCCGGAGAAAAGACGGCGCAGAACCTAAACGTGATGCTGGCCTCAGAGGTAGGGATGGGCTGCTCCCTGCTGGACATGGACACCGAGGGCCAGAAACGAGACTGCACCGTGCCGCTCTGCCGCATTCAAAGCTCTCCTGCACGGCCCTCTGTCTTTGAGCTGGACAAAGAGTTCCTCTCTTAGAAGTCTCGAGAAGCGAGCTGCTTGCTGGTGGTTGTAGCTTGTTGCTCACAGCCTAGAATGTTCAGAACTTACACACACAGAACTCCTGGAGGGTTTAGAAGCAGGCTGCCTTTGTTTCTATTTGATGAAGTTCTATACAGAGCGATAGAAACGGCTTTGTCGCAGTTCTAGCACATATCTATGTTCTAGACTGCAGCAGAGTCTGAGGCTTTTAGAAAATTCCTGAGTCACAGGTGTTCCAGTGTGTTTCTTTCTAGTACACACACACGGGGTTCTGAAACCAAGGCAGAACTTTCCAGAGATGGATCAGCAGCTCTTCCTGTGATCATCTCGGTGCTTGACTGCTGCCTTTGTTTCCCCATCCTTTCCTCGCTCTTGTCACCCCCCACCCTTTTCCTTTCTCGTTCTATCGGTGCAGCTAAACGTTGACCGCTGCTGCAGCTTTCTCAACACAATACCCTCACCTTTTTATTTATATATATATTTTTATAGGTAATTTAATATGAAGAGACTTGACCTTACCTTAGAAACCAACAGGACACACATTCCATGTCAGTTTCGAAAAAGTGTGATCACGCTTTTAGATTTTTTTAAAAAAAAAATTTTGACTTAAAAATCATGCATGCATGTACCCTTAAAACATTGAACAAAAATATACTATGCCTTGTTTGTAAATATTTCTTTTAATCCTTTATCGGCCTAATGCTGGCAGTTTTGTTTTCTTTTATATGGCATTAATGCTGTTTCATGACTGAGGCAGCAATGCTGCAGTACAGTTTGTTCTTGGGCAATAGATTGGGGTTTTCGAAGAGTCCGTGGAGTAGTCGAGAAATGTGTCTGTTAATTTGTATTCATGAAGAAAAATGTTTTCTTTTTTGTTTGTTTGTTTGTTTGTATGCACAAAAACATCTGTCACACAGTCTGAGGAGAGTTTATGATGAGGTTCATGATTACAAATTGTAGTGTAGTCCACCCTAGGAAGGGGAAGATGGTGGCATTCACTTAAGAGACACGATTCATGTTTGTATGGTTAAGATTCAGACCAAAATCTTAGGTTTAAACACAGATTGTGGTTTAGGTTCAAATAAAACAGCTGAGCCATGTTTTAAAGCTCTGTTACACTTCCTTTTGAAACACTTGAGTTTTGCAGTCGGGGTTACTGTCACATATTTAATTGCTGTCCGTGAGTACACAGGAACAGATCACATTTCTGGACTACGTCACGTGTCTCGAGGTAGATTACATACTGGACCCGGGTAGAGATGCATGTGTGTTTCCACCCAGAATTCCCTGCATGCGGGTAGAAAACTGGAAGTCCTTCAAAGCAGACCTGGAATCTTCTCGTTTAGGAGTTGTGGTCATGTGTTGATAATATGGAATATGGAGTATTTATAGATGTTTTTTCTTTGTTAAAATTGTTTTTATTTGGCACACTGCAGCAGAGCGGGAGGAACGCATCAGCCGTGAATGTTCATGTGAGGGAAAACCCAAATAAACTGCTTGGATATTTAGGATTTCTACAAAGCCCATAAATGTGCACACAGGAGAGTGTTTACTTACTGTTTAGAGCATCAACTGCACAAAACTGCAATACTTGTACTGTAAACCTGATAAATGTGTGCCTTTCAGCTTTGTCGTTTAAAAGCTCGGTCACTCAGTCATAGAAATCAGCCCCAGTTTGGTTGGTTTGATTCTGTGATAGCGCTGTTACATGTAACTGGTTTTAACGTTTAGTTGAGTCAGGTTGTCGGTTGTATCCGTTTCTCTTTGTACACTTTTTATACAATGTTAAGCAAAAGGTTTTTGCATTTAGAAAATATTCCGAGTCAAGACACCGTTTGCCTTTCATGATCATGCTAGTTTTCCTCAGTATTCACAAAGGGCTTTGAATGTTGATTTGTCAACATGTTTCTTCCAGACTTGTGTGAACTTGACAGTATGCAGAGCTGATAATGAAGGACACATGCTGGACCCAATGCCACCTGTAATTGTTTAGTAAGTAAATTGAATATAAAAGTGGCCCACTCAAGTATTCATTTGCTAAAAGATATGAATTTCCAAATGGTGTAAATATAACTGATTGCTCATGTGTATCTCACTGTGGCATTTTATCATTTCCTGTGTTGCTGTGTTTTATGACCACTGAATTCAGAGCAGCTCTAAACACTGTAAAGGGCCTTACTGATCATAGGGCTGTTAAAAATGAAATAAAAATAAGGGCATCTTTAAACACCAGCATGCACTGCTGCTATAACACTGCAGACCTGAAACATTCCCAGACACACATGCCAATATATTTTACAAACTGCAGCAATAATATTCGTGAATCCAGACACTGCACATTCAGGCTGTGTGGCCACAGGACCAAAATTCAGCTCTATCAGCACTAAGGCCTCTCAGTCCTCAGGACCAAAACTACTAAATGAACTAGCTGCTAGTGAGGAGTTCCTACAAAGAAGGCGACTCCACATGAAAACGCCACAAAGATCCTCAGTGTGAAGCACTGTAGCTGAAAGACCCACCGCCCTCCCAATCAAATGAGAACTTCCTGTTAAATGCAGTGCTTCCTTTAAATCACTGAACACGTGTCACGCTGACTGTGTCACATTGAGATTAGAGTACGTCTGTTTCAGTGAGCGCTGTTTGATATCATTACAGTATTTGTCATTTCATGCCTGATTGATGAAGAGTATCCAGTTTATCAATGTTTTCAATAAAGTCTAAGTCGAGACTAATGTCATTGGTTTGTCTTTTTTTTTGTCTTTTTTTTTTTTCCAAACACAGTTTAAAATATCATTTCAGTTTTTTGTGTCATCTGAAGATGATTTATGGGGATTCAATTCAACTAGTAGTTCTGCATCATGTTCAAAAGTTCCCGAAGATGCTGTGAAACCCTCAAAAAGCTGAAAGCTGCCTCTGCCTACAGAAGCAAACCCACCAAAGTGTGGCACAAAGACTGGATGGTTAAAGGACAGGGCCCAGATTCAAAGGCAAGACAGTAAAGTTCATGAGATGGTCTTTTTTTTCACAGCTATGAATGTGAAAGTAGCAACAACACAAGACTAAAATAATTTCTGACGCAGTGAGGTGAAGCTACTGTTGGTGAAGACCCAAAGCCCAGACCTACACCATCAGAACATGGATTTGTATTATTATTATTTTCCAAAGTCCTGCCATTCAGGGTAAACGAAAAAGTAATCATTCTTAGACAACCATCAAAAACACATGGTTTGAAGCTCAACTGCAAGTCAGTCACCCTTGATGACCTCAGAGGGTTCAGTTGCTACTTTTAAATCTTCCTTAACAAGCAAGCTAAGTGCACAGATTATATTATTATACGACACATAAGTATAAAAAATATCGTAGGGTTTTTTTTCTTATATTTCAAAGTATTATGTAGACTCCTAGTTAAAAAGTCTGACTCTTGAAATCTGAAGGCACCACTATGGTGACTCTGTCCTTTAAGTTTGTATTCACTGTCGTCTTGGAATAAATCTAAACTACCACAACAGAGTAACACCAGAAAAAAACACACTAGAATCAAAGTTGCTGTTTCTGCATATTACTGAGCTTTAATTAAAAAAAACTATATATTCATGGCTGCACAAATAGGCGTAACACTATACCTTTGCAGGCAATAAAATACAAAGAGGAGAAGACGATGAGAAAACTGCGAAAACACCACCAGCTTTACTGTTTGTACAAAAAGGGTCCAACTTACAGGACAGAGGTCAATTTCAACAGTGGATTTTATTTGTAGTGTGATACATTTAGCACAGTACGTTCTCATACAGTTTTCTTTTAGCAGAGTTTTTTTTCTTTACAAAAAGCTCTCTTAAAGACGTTAAAGCAGCATTCGCTGATCCTCACTGCTGGACTGCGTGCGAGAGGTATGAGGAAACAGACATAAGTTGAAAATATATCTTGACCATGTGTGAACGAGCACACCAGATTGCAATAATATTTTTATGATTTATGGAGAGGAAAAGCTGCCTGTGAGTTCAGAATATGTTGCCATGAATAGAAAAAATTTAAAAAAATACTCTTTAAGTTTAAAAAAACAAAAGCAATCCTCTTCCGGTGAACGTGAAAGTTTGCCTTCATATGAGGCCTTTAATGCTTTGTACAATAAAGTGCATCACTTTTACTTGCACGGATGTGTGTGGCTGTGGCCGTCGAGGTAGCGATGGATATTTAAAGCTGAAGGGATGGCTGACGCTGTGTCTGCAGAAAAGAGAATAGAATTCAACTTTATTGTCATTGCACATGTCACAAGTACAAGGCAACGAAATGCAGAGAGAAGGAAATCAGCAAACGGAGCAGTTCTGTTTTGTCTCTCTAAAAGATCTAAATATGGTGAAAAGGGCGGGGTGAGCTGGGGTAATTACTGTCATCATGTACAGACTCATGATAGGATTACTCCTCCAGGGTGTTTCTTTCCCCTCCCTCCCTCTATCTCAAAGCCTCGGGCGATTGTGATGTGACAAATGATACTAGACGTCTCATCCGGGTGATCTTTTGTTGCAGCAGTATTGTTGGTCATCAACAATACTCTCCAACGGGTCTGTGTGCAGGCAACTAAAACACACACCTGCAACAGTTTCTCACAGATATGGCGGCTTTGCGTTGTGGCAGGAATTTGCATCTGTGGTAACGATCTACAGGAGCTAGATACGTCTTTACCCTGCAGCCGGCACGACATGATACGATGCAATGATGTGATATGAGGGAATGTGTTTTCATACCTGTGTTGTCAGAGGGTAGTGACGCATTTCAGAGAGCTGCGGGCGCTGTGCTTGCCCTGCAGAGGGAGGACGATCTGAGCTTGGAGGCAGTATTCTTCTCTGTGATTCAGGTCCTTCAGAGTCAGCTTGTGAGAACAGCACTTCATGTCAAACACCTCCTAAAGGAGAGAGAGATAAAGAGAGAGACAGTGAGTGTCCACCAGCCCTCAGCGGTAACGGGCGGCTGGAAGCAACAGGTGGTGCAGTTTGACAGAAAATTTCAAGAACTACAGGCGGAAAAAATGCAAATTGTTTTGTTCTTCTTTTTGTTGTTGTTCTTGTTTTGTCAATCATCTTTTGCTGCTCTTCCTCTTCTTCCTTCTCTATTTTGGAACTGTGCACCGATTCCACTGTAACCTTTCAATTTTATTTGTTCTAAGCTCCGGGGAAAAAAAACAAATTAATTTTTGCATACTGCTGTGACGGCAACTGTTTGTGTTTGTGGAAAAAAAACTGCACGCCACCTTCTCTAAAGTGAGTGTTTGAGTGTCACAAACAGCGAGGAATGAATTGACAATGAATAATTTACTAATGTTTACAGTGAAACCTGGAGAAAAAAAGATGCAATCCGGTGCTTATCATAGAGAAAATGCAGTGATTATTGATTATTATTTCATTCTTAAATGTTGAAACGTGTGCTAAAATTGGGGAAATGTAGAGATTTCAGCATGTTCAGCTGTTCTGACTTAAATTCCCAATTAAGTGTGATTAATTTATCACAAGTGCACAAATCAAACACAGTTTTCCCATGGAATTACATTCAGGATGTAATGAGTCTAAAATAAACCCGGCCTAATCAGTGTGGAGATGGATGCGCAGCAGGGTGTTTGGTGTGAGTGTGTGTGCGTACTTCTTCTCCACTGGGGTGTGTTAAGTAGATCTTGTAGTACAAATTGCTGTGCAGCTTCCGGACCAGGTCTCGGGGGGGCTTCACTCGGACCACAATGGCTGGTTGTTCGGTTACATTCAGTCTCAGCACAGGGGGGCTGATTTTGGCTGCATGGGAAACACATTTCTTTGAGCTTATCCGCAGAGCGATGAACACACAGTTGTGAGAGCGTGAAGCAACGCAGAGGAAAAGAGAGGAAGCAGCGGAGAGTATGCTGCTGTTGTTTTTAACTTAAAGAGGGAAGTCTAAAGAAGTCATGTGACTGTGATTGGATTGCAAGACAATGCAACCTGAACTTTGGAGCTTTTTTTTTTATCTGACATTAGTTATATATAGTTTGGAGAGAGCATTTTTTAACTTAACTTAGATCTTTGTTATGCTCTATTTAAATAGCTGAACCAGCTCATGAGTGTCTGTGCACCTGCCTTCAGGCTGTGCTTGCTGCCATACGTTCCTGCATCAGTTTGGGGAAGTGAGAATGAACGGAAAGAGGATGCAGACAATGATGCGAGAAGTTGTGTAAACACTCACTGTCCCAACGCGGGCTGAATCTGGGGGAGAGGGCCCAGGCTGATTTGCTGCTGGTGGCCACAGACACAGCACCAACTCTGGCGTAGTACCACTCTCTGGGCTCAGAGGTCATGTCGCTGAGGTCACAGTGGTGCTTCCGGATCTTTTGACAGCCTGGCACATCGATCCACTCGGGCTCGCCATAACTGAGGGAGAAGACATAAACACAGAGGATGGTTATTTCATCCTGTGCAACCTACCCAGCATCCTACTGAGGGTGCTGGAATAATATTAACACAGATACTCTGACTCTGATACTCAGATTAGAAATATTCTACACTCCAATTGGATTCATGTTAAACATTCACATCTTTTCTAGATTTCTGCTGCTGACATCTCACAGATTCAGAAGCTGCAGGTTTCCGAAATTCATTGAACCAACAGCAAGAAGATCAAAACTACATTTCAAGTTTGAAAAACGTCGTCATGAATTCCCTCTTACTTTTGCAGTTTTGCTTCCACCACCATAAAATCACACTTCCTCCACAGCTCTCTCTCTCGGTGTACTTCGAGACCAGTTTCCGATTTCAAATCTCAGTTTTCTGCATTATTCGCTGGCTTATTCGCACCAATCTACTCTTGTGTTCAGCGCTGTCGGCCGCTGTTTTGTTTAGTCTTTTTCAAAAATGACCGCTGACAAGAAAGCCTCATTTCTGCTGTTCAGTACCGAAGAAATGTAAACTTTTACAAATTATGCCAAACTGCAAAGGCTTAGTTGTGTCTCTAATAAAAACCTCTATAACTTTGCTCTGCTTCACTTCAGCAGCATCAGGTAATGTTCATATATTGATTCATGATTTTCTTCCGCTTTTGATCTGCTGCAGATTATTTTAAGGCGGTTATCTGCTATAAAAAGCCAGGACTCGAAAATCTCCTTCATGTTTTTCTTTGGTTTATCCTCCGTTACAAAGGTGTCTGCTGTGATGCTTACACCTCCGATGAAGTCTGACAAGTGTCAGCTTTGTTTTTATACCTAGATGTTAAAAAAT